ACCCCCCAGATCCTTTTCCTACAAATAAACACACTGGAAATATGAGAATTCGTCAAATTACCGGAAGGGTGACAGTGCCTTCTCTTTAACTCATTTTCAATGAGAGCACGTCTTGTTTTCATATTCTGTATCATTACCAAAAAGACAATTCAAAGAATGTTCTTTGGCGGTAGCCTACTTTGATCTTGACTTAATTGTTCATCTGTCAATGTCTGACGATGACGATTGCATCAGCTGCAGAGAATCATAGTTCTGGAACGAAATAGGAGAAATGAGAAATTAAAAGGATTTGTGGGTTCTGCTATGGCCAGTGAGACCGAATCTAGAAGAGAAGATTTGCCACATTTTTAGAATGCTTGACTCTCGGAAATGTGTGTTTGAAGTAAGAAAGAGCAGCGCAAACACTCGCTTTCTTACCTAGGTACAATACATCTGTTGGCGCTAGGGTTAGGGTTCTATCAATCACAGTAATTAGTATTATTAGCTACATAGTGGACTTGTATGTTAGAATGCTCAATGCAATAGAATTATTATTTTTAAATTAAGGCCTTATATTGGCGGTGTGCATGTTGTAAAGATGTGTGCAAAATACATGTATAAGCAACGTTTTTGGTTGTTTTTTCATCTGTTTTCCTGTCTTGTTTAATTGTAAGCGTTATATATCATCCTGCGAAAAATGAACAGAGATTCTTTTGAGACTAACCACAAGTTTCTCCATACAGTCATCTAGGAGCGGTTAGTGAGCAGCTGAGTAGATTGCTCTTTTACGTTCAAAATAAAAGAAGAAAAGAAAATATTATGTCTATCATGGTCACATCTAGCAAAACACTCGGTCTCAATTGTAGTAACTTTCTGTCTAGTCTGGTATATAAGGCATAATTAAACCTGCGTTACAATGCCACTGGTGCTATCAGAATAGCGTCCGTAGATCCGAAATCCGAGTCGGGCGGGCGGCGGGCATTAGGAAAGGGGGATCACTGGCTGCCACGAGTGGAATAATCTCGTGCCTCGGATGGCGTCTTGGAGCTCATTAGGGTTAGGCGACTAGCAGCAGCGACGTTACCCAGAAAGGGTTGATGATGTTATCTGTCTATCTATCTATCTATCTATCTATCTATCTATCTATCTATCTATCTATCTGTCTGTCTGTCTGTCCATCTATCTGTCTGTCTATCTATCTGTTTGTCTGTCTATCTGTTTGTCTGTCAGGCTTTCTGTTGTCTGACTATCAGTTTGTCTCTCTGCCTGCCAATGTTCGGAGGTTTGATATATCAAAACGAGTAAGACCGACTCTTGAGAATCTGTAGTTTGTTAGAACAGCATATTTCTCAAGCTTCTTTATTTTCGTTAATCGTATCTAATTGTATCCTATTGGCATAGCCATTCCTTAGCCATTGTCTTTGAGTTCGAAAACCGGACGTAGGACGAGTATGGAGCCTTAGGGCTCAGTGGAAAATGAGCTGAAAATTACAACAGGCTAAATGAAGGTTTAAAAGGGTTATGGGAACGACGAAACTGAATATAATCCTCAGACTTCCGGACTTGGGGCACGAACTTTACCTCAAAGCAGCTTTGGCTCCCGATCGATGGCAAGGTTTGTTCTCCCGAAGAACACTGCAGTCTGGTCCGATTGCGCAGAATTTGTGTAGCCATGACTGCCCTTCGGGTCTACCGAGTTTGTTTTTTAAACTGATCCGAGTTCGAGTTTGACTGACCTGATTTGCCGAAAACTAATTAATTTTGGCTTGAGAGAAGTTTGGGGACGATCAGATTGGCTCATAATTAAACAATTATATTTTTAATTAACTTTGACGTCGACATCGTCGTCGTCGTCATCGTTATCATCATCATCATCATCATCATCATCATCATCATTATCATCATCATCATCATCATCACCATCATCAAACCACAACAAAAATAAATAAAATATTGTAGATAAGACAACAGTGAGGGCATTGATGTCTACCTGTGTAACTTTTCAAGCATCTTAATAGTTATCCCTCTAAAGAAAGAAGATAAACATTTGACTGCCTGTTACCGCTATTATTTCAAAATATTTATTATTGTTTTTTCTAATGTCTGTGGATGATGAATTGTGGTATTGATATCCATCCGTTCGAGTGAATTAGATGCTTTGGGGGCTTGTGGGTTTGTTTGGGTTGGGGG